AGCATTGGAAATACCACAAATGACTGTATGGGGTTACTTGGACCAACTTCTGTGGACTCTTGTTTTTACGCACCTTTCTGCTTTAGGCCTTTGAAGTCTGCATATGAAAGTGGGCTGTGTAGAAATTTGATAACCATGGTTTATGGAGAGCTGCTTCTTGGCCAGGTTGTACATGGAGGTAATTTTCACACTGGACTTTCATGGGACTCTCATGCACCCACTTCAGGATTCAGTGTTGCCGATTATAGAACTACTCTAAAAAATGACCATAACAGGTTATCAACCACTAAGAAAATCTAACGGCATTTTATTAATTAGAGATGAGCTAAGAACTTGTAAGAGCCAGTTCTCTGAGACTTGACAAATATGAGATGCCATCTAGTGATGAGTTTTCAGAATTCAGGCTCTCTGTCCCAATGTCTCACCAAGGCCAATACAACCCAGGAGAAGCTAAGAACAGGAGTCACAAGAGGCAAAGCCAGGCAGAACCTGGGCTGGAGGAGATTGTAGAACCAGAGCCCCTGGAGAAGTCGTGGGCACACTCCTCTGTTTATGGCCCAACCACATGTCAGCCAACCAGGTAGATGCGTATCCATGGTAGCTTTACTTGGAAGTCTGACTTTGTTTTGTGTTTCATATGGTGGCCCCTAAAAGTGGTCAATTGACTGATATGCTTCTGTTCTGAGATAGGTTAAGATTGTAATCATTAACCTTGATATCCTAATTCTTTTCCTAAAATTCTTTGGGAAGCAGGTGAATGAGAGGATTTGGAAAAGTGGGAAACCAAAATTGACTTTTATTCCTTCGTTTTTAATGTAACAGATAAGGAAAAAGAATCAGTCCCTAGACTCCAACTCTGCTCCACACAGTGGTGAAATTTACTTTCTCATTGGCTTTTGAAGTTTAAGAGAAACTTGTGTGGTTTTCATTCATTTGATTATTCATTTATTCTACACATGCATGCCTCCCAACACTGGGTGTGTTACAGACAATGAGACTGACATAGTTCTCTCTCTCATGGAACTTTACCCTAAATGCATTTTTTCCCAAAGAGTTATGCAATCATGTAGTGAGTTGTGCTGGGCATTAGAATAAATGACTTAGAACAAAATACAAAAGTATGGACTTGCACAGGGATATGGGGAAATAGCAAAAACATAGTAGATCCAACAGAAAGTAACAATAAAAGAGATTTACTTTTGGCACAGAGGATGAGGCTGAGGACAAACCCCAATGCTCTGAGTTGCACGGGAAGGTTAGAACTCATGGGTGAGCAGAGGCAGGTCTGCATCCTCAGTGGGGGTGAGATGATTCTCACAGAGAGACCCATAGGTCGGAGCAGAGAGAATTCTGCATTCTTGGTCCTGTCGGTAAGAATAACTGATTGGGAGCACTTATAGCAAGTAGAGATGATGTGAAGGTACATTGAATTTTCTATTAGTTAGCAAGCTCTTGGAAGTTCTACCCTCTAAAACCTTTCACTTTCATATTTTCTGTGTGAAATCTGCTTGTGTTTACTCTATTTATTTGTACCTATTTCTTGAAGCAAAGTCTCATGCCATGCCTCCTCTTGCTGACCCCTGGCCTATTTAAATTTTTCGCTTTTCCCACTGAAGCCCAGTCCTTATTCCAAACCAGGTGTTGTGAATTCACCTTGGCAGGTGCTGACTACCTTGCATGACAATAGCTAGCTAATGAAGCAAACAAATCTTAGTGAATATGAATCAGAAGTATGAGAAACTACCACCTGCATCATGGGTGAATTGTGAGAAAGGAAAAGTAAATGAGGACTTAGGGGCCTGGGCGTCAGGGCCCTTGTCTGTGCATCTTCTGGAACTGGTGCCTCACTGGAGCCTGCTGGCAAGCAGGCATGCAGTGCAGGCTGTTGAATTAAGGTTATGAAATGACTGTGTGGCCTGACTGAAGGGCATGGGGCTGCAGAGTGGAGCAGCTTCCTCAGCTGTTTGTGGCGGGGTGACCTTTGGCAGGTAATTAATCTTCCTGCGCCCGAATTGCCTTTTCTATGAAATGAAGATAACAATCTTAAGCCATGCTGGAGAGATTAGAAATAACAATGTAAGCACATGGAACACATGAGATAGTCCAAATGTATAACAAATGTATTAATTATACTGTAAAACTGGCAGAGTCACAATATCTTTCATTATTAATAGTCGGGAGTCTTTACGGCATATATAAACCAAACTTTCGCTAAGGCACGGGTTTGAAGCAGGAGAGCTGTGAGATGGGGCTCTCATCATGTGGTGGCCACCTGCCTGTATGCTTCGACCCTCACAACAGGCCCGGGAAGCAGGGGCTGTTATTTCATGGTGAGATGTGGGACCAGAGGTGCAGAGACAGTTCCTCGGAAAGTGTGAGCCAGGGTTGAGCCCAGGCAGCCTGGCTGCAGGCCCACAGTGCACTAAGCAGCTCTAAGAACTGGGAACAAATGATTTGTTTTCTTGAGGAAAATGGCCATCAAATATGAGAAAAATACTCAAAGAAATGTGACGCATAAAAGGCTTTGTCTGCTCAGGTGTTGTTTCTTTGGGGGATCTCTGGGACTCAAAATTACATTCCTTGTGAATGGCAAAGGTCTATCATACTATTATCATGAAGAATTCTACTTAAATTTAGTAATTCTCCCAAGGGGCTTTCTCCTATTTCCAAGACTTTAAGCTCTTTTGCTGCTGTTTGGAAAAGCAAATCAACAAATGTCATTTGTCAGTGGGAGGTTCACAGGCAGGGCTCTGAAGAGGGACAGCCGTTGCTGTAACGACAGCCACTTTGCTGCTCTGCACAGCAAAAGAACACAGGAAACTCCAGAGTTCAGCCCTTCCTGTCTGTCCGCGGCCCCTTCTCAGAAAGCTCACTCAAATACCGCTATTATTGAGGCCTTCTGCTTCTAAAACGGACATCTACCTTTCTTGATTAGTTTAGAATTTCCGGTTTGGGGAATGATTCTGCTTGACTCCCGGACTTGCCCTCCTAATAATATAAGTTAGTAGCACCATTTGCAATATGACTTTGGGCTTGGCAGCCAATCTAACATTTTATTGTGCAGCTGGTTTTCCGCTCCATTCCACAGGCAAGGGTACTGAACGAAAGCAGGAAGCAGTTGTAAGAATGACCAGGATTATCCACCAAGAAATGACCGAGTCAAATTCTGAACTCAGTCAGCATGACGCCAGAATCGACACTTTTAACAGCCAGTTCTGTATCCCCTTGTAAGTGAGCGCAAATTGTCATAGCAAATGGGGGCCAATGACCCACAGTGTGACCGGCACTGTGGAGAGCAAACACGTGGTGATCCCGCCTGTCAACACAGCAACACCTTACCGAACACTCACTATGTGCAGACTCTTTACTTACTTACAGCTGCCAAATGTAGATCTATTTATCCCCAGTTTTTCAGATGGGTAATTGAAGCTCAGAGAGGAACTTGCCCATGGTCATGCAGCTGGTTAATGGTGCATTTGGGTTGTAAATCTAGCTGTCACTGACTCCTCATCTTAGGTTTTTTCCCACTGTGGTGTACTACCAATTTAGAGGAGATAATAAAGGTGGACAAAACTAAACTTTCATGGGAAATTTTTCCCCTCAGTTTTCAAAGATTGCCCCCTAGGTGTCTTCTTGTAACAGGATACAGTACAAGGGGTGCCTGAGAATATAGGAGAAAGCCCCCACAAACCTTGGTTGAGGAATGGGGGAGAGCAGATGACAGGATTAAGAAACTTTGCATGTCTATAATAACTTGGTAGCTAGTTTAATAGGCATGTTAATAGCTGTGCTGCCACTTTGGGACAAGGTAGGCATGGCTTTAAGGGCATATCCTGACTTGGGACATAGCCAGGAGAAGTGGGTTCCCCCTGGTGTATGGAGTCACTCTTGCTCTGCCTGGGGATGGTAACTGAATGAATGTAAACTATACAGGAGAACAGGAAAATGTCACTCATTGTGGAAGGAATCAGAAATGAGGTCAAGCAGGAGGCTTCAGGTCATGATTTAAACACATGGTGGAGAGCCATGAGGGATTCGGGTTTGAAAGGGTACATAGAAGGAGCCATGCTGCGGGTAATGAAGTAGCAGCTCCGCATTTTGTAGGGTTTTGGCCATGTGGCTTGGAAGGAGTAGAAGAGCCATGAGAGACTCATGATGCAGCTGGTAGTGAAGAAAGATTCTGGCAGTAGTGAGATGGGAGCCATGCGGGCTGCAGAGCTGGTCTGCCATGGGCTAGTAGGAAAGCAGGCAAGCTGCTTTGGTTGTGCCCATTCTAGCAGACTCCAAAACCATCAAAGACGTTGACCTGCTGCCTTGCAGACCCGGACTCTATCTGGACTCTTGAGAAGTGTGTCTTTCCTGAATTTCATCATGATCCGGTGTACCACAACACATGCTTTCCTGGACTATTACATGGAAGCTGATAACAACATACCCCAGATCCTAAAGGAGAGAGCTGCTGTGTGGACATGGTGACTTTGGTCCTTCCAGAGAGACTGGAGAACTGTTTGTGCAGCTGGCTTAAGATAAGAATATGGGGAACTATCGGGTTTGCTTTTGGCTTATAGCCTTTTGGAGAATAAGGGAAGTGCTGGGTATTGTGGGGAAGAAGGGCTCCAAGCTGAAGTGCTCTGAGCCCTCCGCCTCAAGGCTGGAATAGTGTAAATAAAGACCTGTTCTTTCCAAAACTGTTGGGTAATGCACCAAGGTGCTGCGTGACAGGCCCCTGCCTGCTTGGTTGCATTCTCTCTAAGAAGTAATGGAAATTCATAGTATTACTGTCTCAACTGCAAAGGCTTTTGTCCAGAATTTTCACATTTCACACCTCTGCTATTGGCAAGGTCTGTCTGCATTTTCAAGACTATTTAAGAAGAGTATCCAGCACAGCATGGTTAGAAATGTGTCTCAGCCTACTCTGAGTGGCAGGCTTCCCCAAAGGATTTGTTGTGTTAGGGTTCTTCACATTAGAGATTGTTGCTGTTTCCTGCTAGTCTGCTTTGCTTATTGCTAGGCCAAGATGGTGTGGAGCAAGATGCCTGGTCACAATGCAGAGAAGGGATGGCTTCAATTTGGGGAATCCTTGGCCAAGTAGCCTACACAAGGGGAGGCAAGAAAGTAAGTACCAACTAAAAAAGTTACATTATCTTTATTATGATGTCAAGCAGAATAGAAAGCCACAAAGTGGAAGTACTCTTTCCTCCTTGGACCAGCGTTGATCTTTCCAGAAAAAATTGTTATCGGTAGTTGGGATATATTCCAGAAACTTAAGTAGGTTGTACGAAGTGCATATTGGATTGAACATCCTAGTCATTTGGTTTAGGAGAAAGTTTCTTTACACAATAGTAAGAACATTCCTCTGACAAAGGCAAGGAATCATTTAATCCATATCCTTCAAAGAAACCTCTAGAATGAGGTTTTTTCCACCTGGTGTTTAGTTTGCAATTTTCCCCCACTCACCTTTAGTTCTTATTTTGATATCTCTATAAATTTGTTTCTGAATTTTTCTGTCAACATGGAGAACATGCCCAAATATAAATCTTGAATTGGGTGGAAGGAGAAATCTCAGAAAATTCTTCCAAAGCATAATTTTACCCGAATAGATGGGAGAGAAAGCTTATGGCCTCATCACAAGGCTGGAAAAAGTTGGCTAGAAATGAATGCCAAGTATTCTTTAAACTATCAAATATCAAAAAATGAAAATGATACAAATTTGAATCCAAACTTGAATACTGTGTATAAATTATCCATGGTCTCTTATATCTCTATCTCATCTTCAGAGGTACTAATTCCTTTTGTTTTGTACTATCTATTCAAGGATATTTATAGAGTAAAAAGCCTTGAAAGAGTAAGGTATGTCTTTTGGAGCAAAGGATAGATTTATTTACTGTCCAGGATAATAAAGACAATGTCTTCTTCTGGGGCAAAGTTCAGGTAGGTTCACAGCCCAATATACAATATTTCAGATCCCTAGGCTCAAGTCTCCTCCTCTGTAACTCATCTCAGGGTGCCTGCAGGTCCTGTTTTTATTGCCCTGTGGGAGCTGGGGCTCGGAGAAGTGGCCCAAATGCTGACACTCTGGCTGCAGGTATTCCTGTGAGAAATAAATTCCCTTGTTTCTGACCCATCTCATGTCTTCTGTCAGAATCCAAGAAATTGTGTCATGCTAAATTGGTAGCTTGTGAACAGTGTAAATTCTCACACCCTTCATAGTTTCTTGACTATGGTATATAGAATAACACGAAACATGAGTGATTCAGTGACTTGGTGATTAAAATGACACACTCTTCAGAGGGCCAAGAAATCCAAGCCAGGAGGAGGTACCAATGAGATAAAGAGGTAAGGGCTCGAACAAGAAACTTACAGCCTTCACAAGTGAGTGCCGTCTGTAAAACTGAGACAGACAAGTACAGTTACTAGAAGGCCAGGTCTTTGAGTTGTCATTCTGTCTGGTGGCCCCGGCTGAGCCCTGTGTGGCAGGTGGGGGTCTTCGGATCCCTGGAAGCCACTAGAGGGGCGCCTGTAGAGAGCATATCAGCAGCTCCAAGTAGAGATCAGGTCAACCTCTTTGTGGTGTGTAAAATTCAAAGTAATTTACCAAAAGTAAGGGAAATTGTTATTAATTAAACTGATATTATTTAATAAACACTTGTCACACATACATTTCTGCTCCTAAACATTTATTGAGAACCCCAGAAAGCTCTTGTTTTGGCAGTTGTATTTATTGATATTTATGATATTTGAACTTAAAACTGAGAAATTTAAAAAGTATTTATTTAAAATAAGAATAAAACAATAAAATGTTATGATAAATGACTCTTCTGCAAAACAAAAAAAAATAATTACTGCAAAAAGTGGCATTATTTTATAATTTGAAAATCTCTTTGATGTCTTGCTTCAGAGAAGACATTAGGATTCTCATATCTGCTTCTTCATTCAATCTGTTGTAGTAGCATAAGCAGGGTTACTGCTGGAAACAATTCAAGAATGAGAGTGAGAAAGGCAAAGAATGTTTGTACTCACATTTGTATGACAAAAGCTTTGACTTTGCAAACCTCCTAACAGGATCTTGAGGATCCCAAGGAACACACTGGGAGAGTCGCTGATAGAGAGACAGCCAGGCACAAACTAAGGTAAGCACGGCAGGAAAAGCAAACCAACGTATGAACTGCTAGTTTGGGAAATACTGTTGTATTGATTGGATGGTATAAATGATTTTATTGTAGTTTTATAGTTTAATTTCTGCAGTTTCTTGTAGAAGTTTTTTTTAAAAAGCTTATTAATTGTAGGTCTTTTTGTTGTTATAAAACCAATGGATTTTCAGCAAAGAGGCCCATTGGCACGCCATTAGATGCTTGGGGAATTATCAGGTTTCATACTTGAGAACACTCATGGATCTAGGAATGATAACATTTTAAAAGCAACAGCCGTTCTTTTTAAGGGCTTAGGGATGACTGTCTAGGCATGATGGAGAGTATGTGATGTTTGAATTCAGACACATAATAATTGTTGGGCAACTGTAGACAGATTATTCAATCTCTTTGAGTCTCAGTTTCTTTCTCTGCAACGTGGGAGTAACAGTGAAACCAGGCTGTGAGGATTCCATTTATATACCCAAAGCCTTCCTTAGTCTGATGCCTGGCTTCAGAAGGCAAAAGGCGAAATTCCCGATTCTGACTTCAGCTGGGGTTGAATGGGCTGTAGCAGCCATCACACTCGCAATCGGGCTTCTGCTAGAACACACCCACCAACGGAAACACTCTCTTCTCCCTGCAGCTCCTTCCATTTCACAGAGGTCTAATTGTTGGAACATTGGGGCGGGGGCTAAAACCTCCCTTCCTCTTTCCACGTGGGTCCCTCTCCTTCCTCTGAGTACAATCTAATTCTCTTTTCCATGCCAGCTCTGTAAACATTTGAACAACTCTCCTGTGCCGCCTAAGTCTTCTTTTCTCTGGATGAAACAGTGTCTCAGCCTTCAACAGTCACCTGCATGACGTTTCAGACTGCTGCTCATTTTCCTTTGGAAACAAAGAGGATCCAGTTCCAGACGTCATAGAACCAGTTCAGGCCCGAATCACAAAACGTACACACTTTCCCTTTCCATTCCCATTAATTTACCATGCCTGACTGTACATGTCATCCTTGTGCTGTGCCACAGTCATTTAAATGCTCTTGTTTGCTTGTTACTTGGTCTACCTGTGATAACAATCATTGTACCTACTTCCAGCTGAGCAAACAGCCCTGGATAGGATGCAAGGCTCTGTCAGCTCACTGCAGTTCTGTATTTCTCCATTTCTTCAGTCTCACCTTGGATACCACAACTTTAACATCAGGTTTCACCTGATGAGTGAAATAGACTCATCAGGTGAATGATGACTCCATTGGTTGGCTTAAGAAGTTACTGTGCTAGTCTGGGAAGCTGGTGAGTCACTGCCTTCTCTCTGTTCGCTGTCATTCATGTTCACTCAGTGTAGCTCTGAGGCAAGCCATGGCCTTTGCCCTAGATTGCAGTCCAATGATGACATTTTCCCTAGCTGTGACGACTCATAATTTTTAGACTTTTTAGTGTCATGGAGGTCAGAACATTGAGAGTTCTTAGTCAACACTCACACATTCCCATTTGTCACCCAAAGAGCTACGGGAACTTCCCCTTCTAAGTTCTCCAAAGCATTTTGAAATTGCAACTAGAGAACACACTCAGGCAGTTTCAGGTGCAACAGCTTTTTCTTCAACTCCAAAACCCCCAGCAGTTTCACCGGTGACTCCACTGCCTTTTCACTCCTCCAGCTGGAACTCAGAATGAAACGCTGCAGTCCCCGCTGGGAATGCATTTTCTGTACACCTGTGGGTGTCTTTCATGGATGGTCTGGAAAGTACGCTACACATAAAGCTCCTGCTTGAGGGTTTGACAAAGCTTCATGGGCGTGTGCTCATCTCTGAGTTTGTTGCCAGCTCTGCACAGGCAGGAAGCAGGGTGTCCCAGCTCCTAAACTAAGCCCCAGGGTTTAATGGCCCTTGCTGGAGCAAGCCTGCTTTACCAGTATGGATATTTGGAAAACTCACCAATCTCTTCTCTATTCCTTCTATGGAAAGGATCCTGACTTCCCCTTTCTGCTTGTGGAAGTGAGGCCACCTCCCTGGAATAGTTTTTTACCCAAATCAGTGGCCAGAGAAGCAGTAAGGTTCAGAGTGGTCAGGTTTCTGGGACAGGCAGCAGTGCTGGATATTTCGAGAGAGACCAGGAACCTGCATGAGAGGTCTGCAGGCTTTTAATGGTTGGGGGCTGGGAGGGACTACTGGAATGTGCCTCAGATTCCCCGAGACCCTGAACAGGATGGAGCCTCCACTATGAGCAATGAGGCACCGCGCTGTACGTGTCGGCCTGGGGGCCCGACCTGGTGATGGAAGAGTTCACGCCGTCCCAGGTGTCCAGGCTGTTGACTGGAGGGAGGAGCTAACCCTCAGAAAGTATTGAAGCATTGCAACTGCTTTTGTGGTTTTAAAATAGGTACATTTGTTTCTTTTAACACAAACATAATGTATATTTATACTAAAATTTTTTTGGAAGTACTGGAAAATCAAAAGAAAACAAATGTCACCCAAGTTCATACAGAACTAACTAGATAGCTCTTTCTTTACATATACAGATACAGATGTGTAGATGTGTGTGTGCACATGTAGCACAGGAAATAAGGTCACTCAAATGCATGGAGAGACCCAGGCCATGTCAATTTTTTGAGACCCCTGACATACTAAAAATTGAAACACAACCTTTAGCACGAAGATTGTGATCTCAGACTATAATTTCCTGCTAAAAAGCAAAACAGCCTCTTGGAGAAATGACTAAACCCAGGCCTGGAATAGGAAATCCACAAGATAGTCTGGGACATCTTGTTCTAATGGAAGGAAGGAAGCTGTCAAAACCTCAAAGACTAGACTGACTGTGATCATTTCATAATATATACGTATATTGGATTATTATGTTGTGCACTGGTAATCTTATATGTGAATCATATCTCAATTTAAAAAGTACACACTAAAATCATGCCAAAAGGATTCAGGAGACAATTGGAAGAGGTTCCCTCTGGCCAAATACCAGACAATTTGAGTATTAATAAGAATAACAATGGCAATGCATTGAAACACTTCAATTACATCCAAATTTATGAGCTCAAAGTGATACTGAAAACAATTCCATTAATTATCTTTAGAGAATGATAGAAGACATTATTTTGAAAAGTTGTACATAATTGAACATTTGTCTTGTGCCTCTGCTTAACCAAATAGTTGGTGAGGGAAAGTTTCTCTGTGCAGAAGTATTCCAGAACAGATGACTGAACTAGAATATCCTAAGTGAATTACTGTATCTAGGCAGTGATCTGACTGTTAACAACACAATATAGAGACCAACAGACATTATGTTCCTCCTAAAGGAAGGACCTATGAAGTAGTCTTATCAAAAAAGTAGACTTGATTCTCCTCAAAATCTCATCAACAGATCTAAGTCCAGTTCCCAAGAAGCACAGGGGACAGAGGAGCATGTTAAACAGCATCATGGGCATGCATAAGTGAAGTCATGTTGCTGCCTGCATCGGTAATTGGTTTTCATGCTGCAGAGTGGTTTGCCACAGTGTGGATGCACTTCCGTGTGTCTAGGCATTCTCTCATTGAAAGATGTCTGGGTTGTTTCCAGTCATTCACTACGATGCACAATGCTGTTGTAAGTATCCTTTTGCAGATTTTGGTACGAATGTAAGTTTTCAGTTCTCTTGGGCAAATAACTAGGAGTGGGATTGCTGGGCCAAATAGTACCTGTTTAATTTTCTAAGAAACTGACAAGCATCATCATGGGTGTGCAATAATGTAGGACTTTCCTTAGGATGGCTGTGAGAATTAAATGAGTTAATACATGTGCAGTACTTAAAATAGTGCCCGGTGTTCAACAATATTAGCTACAATAGTAGCTATCATTACCATTATTATCTGTATTTTTAAGCCTGAGCACACTACTGTGTGAGGGGAGTCCCCTTGTCCCCTGAACTCTGAGCAGCAGAAGCAGCCAAGAGTTGGCCCTCTCTAAGGACCCTGGTGCTGCTGCTGGTGGTGCCTGGGGCAACACTGTGCTTCTGTGAATGGTCAAGAACAGTGTGGGGTTGTGGCATCAGCTGCCAGCAGTGACGCCAGGTCGCTGCAAGAGAACCCCTCAGCCCATATGGCTGTCGGTCAGGTTAAGAAGATAGGTTAAGAAGTTAAGAAGATAGATAGTACAAAGAGTTTCCATATACCCTGCACCTTTTTTCTCCTGAACAACTTACATTAGTCACAATTAATGATCCAACATTATTTTCACTAAAGTCTGTACTTTAATCAGAGTTCCTTAGGCTCTACCTGATATCTTTTTTGTGTTCCAAGATCCCATCCTAGATACCGCATTTCATTTAGGCTCCTCTTGGCTAGGACAGTCTTAGACTTTCTTTGTTTTTGACGACCTTGACAATTTTGAGGAATACCTGTCAGGTGTCTTGTAGGATGTCCTTCTGTTGGAATTTGTCTGGCTTTTTTTCTCATGGTTAAACCAAGGCTGTGGCTTTGGGGGAGGAAGACCACATAGTACCATTTTCATCACATTACACCAAGAGCACATGCTACCAACTTAGTTGGTCACTTTTGATGGTCATTTTGATCATTTGGCTGAAGTAGTTTCATCAGATTTGTCCACCGTCAACTTCCTTTTACCCACCTTTCCGTACTATGCTCTTTGCAAAGAAGCCGCTTTGCACAGCCCACACTTCAGGACTGGGGGTTGCGTCCCGCCTCCTTGAGAATGGGGTGTCTGTGTAAACTATTTGGAATTCTTCTGCATGGGAGATTTGCCTCTTTTCCCCCAATAGTTTGTTTATTCAGTCATTTGTTTATATCAATATATATTCATGTTATTTACACATCCTGTATATTTTCAGAAGTTTATGTGTTTTTAAAACTGTCCATTTAGATTGTCTTTTGTTGTATTTAAAGAGTATTGCAATCAACATGTATGTTTAAATTTTGCTGATAAGTTTGCTTATTTATTTAGTATCCATTTCTAGAAACAGAATCTTGGAACTGAAGATATAAACATTTTGATGTTTTTGCT